AGATTTCACATTAAAACATGAACGTGCTCACACGACCGTACACATGGCCGAGGCGACTTAAGGTTACACTATGAAATTGGCTATATGCCCTAAGCTGAACATGATGCTAATAATATAGGAAAGAGATATCTCAAACGATTACCTCCTCACTAGTTCGCCTGATTGCTCAACGCTCGACGGCTCAAGCTTCCGTGCGCGTGCGGTGCTCTTGGCGTGAGGTGCGGCTAATCCTTCTTACTTAGGGTGAAATTCTCCAATCTCTCTAACTCCCTAACTCTCTATACTCTGAATATATGCTGAGGAAAATATGGGAAAAATTTGCCCATTTCTACCCTATAAATAGGGCGGCCGAAAGCAACATGGTGATGAGGATATTATGTGGCCTCTCCTTTTCATGCCACTTGCCTTCATTTGTTTTAATCTTAATGCTAACTCATCCTCTTATCATATGAGTCATCACTAATTGCAACTTAAAGGGACACCTCATGCTACCAAAAAGGGAGGAAAAAGTTTCCCTTAAGTTGAAGAATAGGGGCTACGGCAATTTATTAAAATTTGGTACCAAAATCTCAATTGCTACGACAATTGATCCCTTTGCTTGATTAATTCTAAATTAATCATGATTAAGTGCTTAATTATTTAATTAAGCATAATACTTAATTACCAAAATTATTATGAACATAACCGGAACGTTGAAAATAATTTCGGGTAATCTCGACTGAAATAATTAATTCCAAAAATAATACTCGAAAATATTATTATATCGGAACTAAAAACATGATTTATATTAGTAATCTGACGGGATGTTACAATCCTCCCTCCTTCAAAATTTTAGTCCTCGGAAATTCAAAACATAACTGAATACACATGAAATATGTACATGAAACATGAAAATATGTACATCAAAACTGAAAATCTAGAAAACGAGCGCGAATATCAGCCTCTTCCTCCCAAGTAGCTCCGTGGTGATCCCACTGAATACGAACGAGGGGAACATGTCGCTTCCAGAGCCGACGAACCTGACGGTCCAGTACAGCTACCGGTCGCTCCTCGTACGATAAATCTGGCTGAACCTGAATATCTGAATGAGGAATAACATGATCGGGGTCGCACACGTACTTACGCAACATAGATGCGTGGAAAACATTATGAATGACGGATAGCTCGGGAGGTAAGGCTAATCGGTACGCAACTTCGCCTACTCGCTCGAGAACCTCGAACGGGCCAATGAATCGAGGGTGCAACTTCCCTCTCTTCCCGAACCGAACAACTCCGTGAATAGGACGAACTCTAAGAAAAGCTGGCTCGCCAACCTCGAACTGAATGTCTCGTCGATGATGATCGGCTGAAGATTTCTGTCGACTCTGAGCTGTCTTGAGTCTCTACCGAAGCAACTCGACCTGATCTGCTGTCTCCTCGATCATCTTCGGACCGAGTACTCAACGCTCTCCGACGTCTTCCCAATAAAGAGGGGAACGACACTTACGACCGTAAAGTGCCTCGTAAGGAGCCATCTGAATAGAAGAATGGTAGCTGTTGTTGTATGTGAACTTGGCGTACGGCAACAACG